TTATGTGCATTGAGAAAGAATGATAACTTAAAGAGGATGTACCATTTCGAGGGACGTATCGCGCGCCGCGATGGATACTATATTTCGAGGGACGTATCACGCGCCGCGATGGTTACTATTATCGAGGGTCGTGTCGTGCGCCGCGACAGATGCATGGACAAATATGTCCCCCATGGGTCCCGGACTGAGAGACAGCGGGTGTGTATAACTAGGTCAGACATGCATCATTATACTTGACATTGCATTCCATTACATTGCACATACTTATCATTAGTGAACTTGATATTGTGTTTTGCTGATCTAGTGATTGTCTTTTTGCGGAACTTGTGATTGTTGAATACTGAGCTTGTTATTGAGGATATATAATTTGTTGAAGTGTTGTTGTTGAGGATATGTAATTTGTTGAAGTGTGTTATTGAGGATATGTAAATTTGTGGAAGTGTTGCTATTGAGGATATCTAATTTGTTTAAGTGTTGATATTGAGGATATATAATTCGTTAAAGTGTTGTTGTGGAGGATATGTAATTTGTTAAAGTGTTGTTGTGGAGGATGTGCAATTTGTCTAAATGTTTTTGTTGAGTTACGTTCTATGTAAACTGTGAGTTGTTAGGTTCGACTGATGTTTATGCAGGTTGTAGTTGTGGAGGGTCGGTTGGGGGTGGTAGGAGTACCCGTATTTCATTCCCTTAGCTTGTGTTTAGATGTTTACTTGCTGAGTACCGTGTGGTTTGGTACTCACCCCTTGCTTCTACAAATTTTTGTAGGTTATAAGCCTGGATTTTTGTGGTACTTATTATTCTCTTCTTTTCCGAGGCTTCTTGGAGATTTGTCAGGTAGCTGTTTCCATCGCAGCAGACTTTCTTCTCCTTAATTATGATCTTGTTCTATTCTAGAAACAAGTTCCTTTGAGACTTGGGTTTTTTTTTTGAATCAATTGTAATACTTTAGAGGCTTGTACACGTGACTACCAGGTTTTGGGGGTTTTATTAAGTTACTTATATTTTACTTCCGCACTTTATTGTAATGGTTGAGTTTTAGGCTGACTTGTCTTGGTGGGATAAGACGAGTGCCATCACGCCCATTTTTGGGTCATGACAAAATGGTATCAGAGCCCCAGGTTCATAGGTCTCACGTGTGTACAAGCCGAGTCTAAGTAGAGTCTTGAGGATCTGTACGAAGACGTCTGTACTTATCTTCGAGAGGCTATAGTGACTTTTAAGAAAAATCTTCACTTTTTGGATCTTAATCGTGCATGCTTGGCTTAGTTTTGACTATCACCGCTTCACTCCATTCACTCTCATTTATGTGATGACTCGTGCATAGTTTCTCATGTGAGTAGTTAGTGTGTTGTGTATAACTTGAATGTTAGACCTAATACTAAGGTGAAAGTGATATAGTTATGAAAAGAATGTAGTTCGATAATTGAAAGTGGACGAATTAAAATGATTGCAAGATAATGAATAATGTAAATTGAGAAAACACAGTTAGCAAAGTTGTCATAATATGTATGAGCTATTTTGATACAATCTTCTAGATAGGTATGATGTGTTTTAGTGGTGGATTTAACAGTCTTCACAATATGGTACTACTGGTATATGAAAATGGATATGTTGATTGTTAAGTGTGAATAATAAATACCTAAAGAGTTATAGTTGTATCATATGTTCAGATAATTAGATTTGGTGTTGAATAAGGTTTGAGAAACCAACTAGTTTGTTACTACGGATGCTTGAGCTAAGCGTAATTTATCAGGAAGCATTTAGTGGTGGATCTTCAGTACGATATTAATGTGTTGAGTTGAGAAGTGTATTTAGAGGGTTCTAAATGAGTATCAATAATTTCATCTTAAGGTCCAAGGGAATGGATAGATACCATAATGGCAAGCTTATGGGTAATGAAGTCTCAGAGAGTATACTTGTGTGGAGGGAATTGAAACTCTTACTAAAAAGTGCATATGATATTGGGTTAGTCTTGTGAATTTTATTGGTAAAGTTGGTTTTGAGATGTCATGGCAATGACAAAGATTACTCTATGGTGATTGCAAGGGCTAAACGAGCATAATGGTAGTAAGAGTTTGTGATGGATTGAAATTGGGATGAGCTATATGACAAAGATAGTTTGTTAAATAGATTTTTGTATAGTAATGACAACTTGCGAATATATAATGTTATGGTTTGCTATAGTTGGGTGAGTAGCCTGGTTTCAAGTAAAGTTACAGGAGGTGCTGAAACACTGCTCGAATAGAATTTAAAGGAGCTAGAGTCATAATGAAAAAAATAATAATAAATAAATTAGTTGATATAGTGTAACCTTCTAAAAGAGGTGAGAGTAAGAATATTTTCTTTGATTGCAAGGGCTAAAGAGGTATATTAACATGGGTTAAGAATTGGATTTAGAGACACATGATTTCACCCATATTTTCTTTGACTATGGTAATATATAGTATCACAAGATCATCAGATTGGTTAAAAACTATTAGATAAATCTTAAGAAAGGAGTGAAAGATCGTTCATCTCGAGTATGATAATTAGTTCTTTTGTGGTTTTGAGTTTGATAATGAATATCGTAGAATTTTAGCGAAAGATATGATAAGATCGATAGAAAGGCGATCAATAAAAAGGTAAGATACAAGAATTCAGAAAAAAAAATCTTCAAGGTATGAACTAATGTTAATTAATAATGGGATTGTGTTACATGGTTGGAAAAAAAATCAAGATTTTCATGGTGAGTTTAGAATTGCGGTAATGTGTTTTGTAAAGATATGAATTGGTAAGGTAAGAAATATCGATCACATTGAGTACGAAGCATTTGGAAGTACTTAAAAATGATTTGAGTAGAAAATTTGGTTACTTTGATTGTTATCCCTAAATGGAATTTCACGTAATGTTTTGATTTCGAGGATAAGATAAAAATATCATGGGTTGTTGGTAAAAGACTGGTAAGCGAGTCTATCAAAGAAACAAGATTTGATGTATTGAAGAGTTCATGATATTCAAAATTTTGTGTCATAAGAAGAGTTTTAGAGAAACGAAGGAATAAGATCTCTCATATAGAATCTTTGTTTGAAGTGAAGGATGTATGAGTTTTCATATATAATATCTAATATGACTATGGATGTGATTTGTTCGGTATAAACATACCAAAAGTTTGTCACCGATTTTTATGAATATAAGGAGTTGATTTGAGTGGGGAAAAAAATTTTGAGGTGTGAAGAGTTTGTGTTATTATGTGGGGCTAATTTATTCAGATTATGGTAGGTGACTTGTAGATACACAATAGGATGAACCTACAATTGCACAAGGTTAATGAGGATTTTGAGGGGATTGAAACTAATGTATTGACGGGACATTGTATGATGTGTTACATAAACAATTGATAGTGAATAGAGGTGATCACCTAGTTTATAGTTTACCGAATTATTGTAGTGATAAAAAAAAATTTCTTAGGTGTTGGTACAAGGTGTATGATGGTTTTGAGTATTAGTTGTAATTTGGTATAAAAAAAATACGTGGAGTTGATATTGAGTGTGATACAGTTGTTGTATCTCGATGATAAAGTACTTTTAGATTTGAATTTACTGATATGAGCCTTGGGTGTGACCATTATTTGTCATGAAATGCTTAAATGGAAAGAGATAAAGCCATAGTTCAAAATCTTTAGAGGCAATAATGTGTTTGCTAAGAAGACTTTAATACTAGTGATGATTTGAGAGTAAGGTAAGTGACTGGTGTGGTTAGAATGTTTGTTATCGTAGTGAGAAAGTCTATGTGGAGTTTGACAATCGAGTATGTGTAAGATTGTAATGATGTCAGGCTAGTTGAATGTGGGCAGCTAAAAAAAAATCTGATATGGAGTCATTTAACTATAATTGTTTGATATGTTTAATATGAAAAGAGTATCTTATGTTATCCGGCCTTGATTTTGTACATTTTTAGGTAACAACCTACTTCGTTTTAAAAAAAAGGTTTAGAGAGTGATTCGTTCCATATACTCGTGTGTTGTTCTACATCTATGGGTGGATTTCTAGTGGTGGATCGGATGTACCGATCCTCTTATATCTTCTTGATAAGGTAGGATCCTTGGTTAGACTTGTTCACTTCAGTTATGACATATTTGATGTTGTTTGAAAAATTAGAAATATATCATTATTTTTATATGTACAACCTTGCTTATGGGAACTTACAAAAGAGCTTTTGTGAATAGTTACGGTTATCTGACAGTGTTGTAAAAGGTTATGCATCCTAGCGTGTACCATTTGTAGGGTGCTTACTTGATCTTGTTCTTCTTTGGATTAGATATGTTTGATTATCCCTTGGTGAGTATTCGATGTCTAAACATCAAACTTTTATAACTTAAGTTTGTGGGAACATTGTGTTGTGGAAAGGAAATCTTGATAAGATATGCGATGGCTTGTGTGTTATGAGTGTGGTTCTTAGCTAAAGTTCACTTCTGGTAGTAGTTGGTATCTGTTCAGAATGTTATTTTGGTTATGTGAGAAAAGATTTTTCTTGATGGATGTATTATGGTCTAGTAGGTTTCAATTTATATTGAGTTCATTGGTTAGTTTGTGGCTTGATAATCACTCTTGATATAAAAATCTCCCAAAGTTTTATTTGAAAGTTCATTTCTTTGTAGTTGATCGTGAGGGAATGGTCTTAAGGATGAGCTCACCTAGAGAGATGAACATCGACTGGTAGGTCATAACTTAGACTTATGGTAACGTTGGTTATTCTTTCTTCTTCTTCCTTATGTTCGAGGACGAACATGATTTTTAGTGGTGGATAATGTAATGACCCGTACATTATTTTTGAGAATCTTGAACTATACGTTTAAATTGAGTTAATTAATTGATGGGTAACTGTAGATAATGGGCTGAATCAATAGTTAACGGGCTAAAGTGATAAATTATTTAAGATTCAATACTATTTGACCCTTATATACTAAATAAGTAGTAGGGTTTATTATTTATATATATAAAAATAAATAAAGATAATAAGATAGGGGGAAAATTACCTGAGCTAGGTTGCGTCGGAGGCGAGGGCATCGAATACAGGTAAGAATTGTTAGCAATTTTTCATCGCCATGTGCAAATCTTGAATTTTGTAATATAAAATTTTGGTTAGACATTAATGGAACACTATTTAATATAATATTGTTGAATTTACAATGGAATATAACTGTTCTTTGGATTCTGTGATATAACAATTCTTTCCAAATCATTGGGTAATCATGTTGCCAATGATTGATGTAGGGGCAATATATTTTAAACCAAACAGTGAAGAAGATTATTAACTTACTGTTTGTGTTTATTTTTTTTCTTTTTTTTTAAATGTCTTAAAATCATCAAATTATTATATTTGGTAGATGATTTGATTATTGATGATTTAATTAATAAAGGATATGTAATGATTGACAGAATTGAAGATACAATGAAGGCGGATGGATCCTTAGGTTCGGAGGTGGTGTTCTATCCGTGGGTGATTGGTAACTTGACTTAATTTTATTATTATTATCACACTATGAGTTAAGTTTTGACATATTGAGATAGGTAATTAAATATTATATCTATCATATCATATACATACCATTTGAGTTATGATATTGGACAAGAGTTGGAACTTAACTTAAGCTTGAAACTTAGAAACTTGATCATAGATTTGGGTGATCTTTTGGGTCTAGGCTAAACCTATAATAATAGGGATGTTGTAAGCTTTGAAATCTTATAGTGAATATGTACTTGAATAGATTGCATTGATTTGGAAGCTCAACAAAAAGAGAAGGCTCAAGTTCTAGAGTCATTGTTCGACTATTTGAGGCAAGTGAATTTCTAAACTCTTGTTAAGTGTATGGAATGCGTGTATTTCCTTGTGATATATGTTTGGGAGTAACGGGATTGGTTATGGGTTGACTTGTCCACATTGATTAATTCTAATGATGAAATAAAAGGGATAACAAAAGGCGATGTGATTAATTATTTATGTGTGATGTGTTGAGAAAAGTTTGATGGCTTGTTGAATCATTGTTGATGTGATTTCATGCTTGTGTGGTTGTGAACTGTGCAATGTTATGAAAATGGTCATCTCCTCATTATTTGTGTGAACATGTCATTGCATTATTCC